GACAGCATCACACAATTCATATTTAATTTTTATCCTTCCTCCTGACCAGAACTTGAGAAACCCGACAAATACATATTTTTTTTCTCACCCTGAAAAAAAAATCAATAAAATTTTATGAATATTTTGCATTAAATGATTTGTTTCACGGAATTCATTTAAAATTTTCAAAGGTAAAATTACCCATAATTCATCAGGTGATTCTAAAACTTAGTGAGCAGAAAAACAATATCAACAGTTATACAACCAGAGTATAAAAAATGTAACAGTCAACCAATGGCACCTTGAGAAAAACTACGATCAACTCCAGATACTTGCTTACTTACAGCAGCATATAAATTTGACCTGGAGAATTCAAGGATTAAAATAAGTAATTTGTGAACACCAATTTTTTAATTGCCATATAGGAGTAATCCTAGTGATCTGTGTTGTTAAACAATTAGGCTTAGAGTTGCTATGGAAAGCCTTGAAATCCTAGGCCTAGAGTAAACAAACGCCACACAGTTGGGACACACAGGCCTAGTGAGCCTTGAAATGGGGTTGATATACTAGCATAATTCTACTGCATGTCCTGTTGTCCGGCTTGATAGGCTCCAGTGTTTTGGTAGTATGTTCCTGCCGCTGTTGTGTAACTGTGCTGCTGTGCTGGGTACGGGTTACGAGATAACGGCTGACTTCTTACTTGCTGCCCATCTACGCCAGTATAAGCAACGTACGTGCTTTGTGGGCTGACCCACGGTTGGGAGCTGTACACAATGGATGTTGGCGTGGTAAATGGTTCCCAGTACCCGGGCTGATTCTTGCTAATGTCAGTGCTTCCGGCAACGGACATGGTCTGGAAACCTTGCAGATTCTGTGGTGAACCTGAATGTGCAGTCATGTCCCTATATGGCTCGCCAAAACCGTGCATGTTCGCTAAAGTAGTACGAGGCGGAGTTGAAGGAAATAGATAGGTGTCTGGTCTTGAATAAGATGTTGCTTCCTGCCGTAGGCCCTGCAGCTGAGGTAGATCGTACACAGTCTGGTGAAATGAGGTCTGCTGGGCCTGTTGCTGCTGATGGGTTTGGCTACTCTGTGGAGAAGCAGGAGGCGTTGTTTCGCGAGGTAACCACAGTGAGGAAGATGTTTGCGCTGGATTGGTTTGGCTGAGATCCTGTTGCCATGTTGCGACCCTGCAAGTGAGTAAAATAAATCAAAGTAGAATAGAATTTATTGGTATAAAACCAAAAATGTATTTAATTCATTGACTAATAAATTATCCAGATCTTTTTTATAATGACAAATAATCAGGCTAAAATACTTCCATGAAAAATTACAGCTAATAACAAGCATTAAGATACCATTGCAAATTGTGACATTTAATATCACTTTCTTTTACATATTAAACATTTCCTCCCCCAAAAAGATGTGAGGATTGCCAACCTGCTGGTTTGCGGCTGGTGCTGCCTCTCAATGCCTCCTTGACCTCTGGAATCGCTGGCAGGCTCTCCCCAGGGAATGGACGACTGTCTTGTGTTGGTCTGCCACAGGTTTGTGCCAGTCCTGTTAGGCTGTTCCGAGACTAGATTTGACGATTCGTATGTAACATTTCCCGGCTGTTGGTATGTGCTTGGTGATATATTGGTTGCACCTGCGTTTCTTTGCGGACTGGGAGGCGGGGTCTGTGGTGAGCTCATTGCCGGGTGGTTTCCAGATGGAATGCGGACTGGCTGACTTTGGATGTTAGAATTCGTATACACCTGTGATTGTCTGTGAATAATAAAATAATAAATTTTTATTAGAGAGTAATAATCTATACAAAAGCAACAACAAACATGATGGCAGTTCATTATTTATATATACAGTATTGATGACAGCATTCACAAAAGTAATGACATCGTTCACCAAAATGATGACATAGAGAAGTAAAAACACAAAAGCAATAACAGTTAAAAGATACTGAAACAGTTCATTCTTCACACATAGTGATGACATCACTCACCTAAGTTATAACATCATTCACATCAATCATCGGAACGAATCAGTAGAAAACCAACGAAAGTACAGCAAAACGTTCATTAACATTTCCTTATCTATTTTGTCACACATACACATTAAATGTTTAAATAAAAAGTTAAATACAATCACATAGAGGAATGAGAGCATTCAATAACTGAAATATAAATTAATGTTATGAACTTACACTGCTGAATTCCAACGTTGATCTGTTGTGTGGCTGCCCCATTGCTGTTGTTGTGGACTAGTCTGTTTTGTTGCTTCCCACTGCAAGCCTGCCTGTTGTTGCTGCTGCTGCTGCTGCTGCTGTTGATGCTGTTGCTGGTGATGTGGAAATTGCTGGTTCCACTGCTGCTGCATCAGGCTTAACTGGAGCAGCTGCTGCTGGTGGCTCAGCCGTCCTGCATCAGATCTCGCTTGATCTTGGCGCGACTGTTGCTGCTGCTGGTGATGCTGCTGCTGGAATCTGGTTGACTCCAAACTACTTGCCTCACTCTGCACAATACCTTGTTGTTTCTGAAACGTTGTTGCTGATAAATGGTGTTGTTGGTGTTGCTGTTGTAATAACGCATTTTGTTGGTGTTGCTGCTGTAATAAGGTATTTTGTTGCTGTTGCTGCTGTTGCTGTTGTTGATGTTGCTGTGCAAGTTGCTGCTGCTGGAAATTTGCAAGAAAATTAACCTGGTCAGGTGTTAAGCTTTGAGGCATAATTTGCTTTTGTTGCTGCTGCTGTTTTTTGGGTAATCCTGCTCTGGGTGGGCTTTGAGTTTTAGGCTCAGACAGCCTAGGCTGGTGTTCAACTTTTTTTGACGGCACTTTGTCAGACCAGAAAGGCTTCACTTTGGCCTCTTCGGGCTGGCTGGTAACCAAAGGCTTTCCTTTAGCTGGCTCACTACTAGTTTTCTTCTGGTCTTCAATCTCTTTAGATAATTGCGTTATCATCTTTAGAAATTGCTCTTTCTCCTCAGGGGTTTGTCCTTTGTTGTGTGACGGTGCCGGTGGGCGTGTCATATGTTGCGAAAATGCGCCACTTCTTTGCGGCCGTGGAGCCCTGAGACCCGCAGGATGGCCCTGGGGTTGATTGCCATGAAAATTTGGTCGCACCTTTAACTCCTGCTGGATTTGATTTGGGTTCCGCATACGAGCCACATGCTGCGAGGATGAGTTTCGAGCAAATGGAATGATGGGAATGGTAGGATTTTGTGGGCGTGGAAATCCATATCTCGGCTGATTGACAGACGATGGATGCTGATGAACTAAAGGTTGAACTGTTGCTGCTGGCTTCTTAAACGGCACTTGTTTGCTCTCTTGTTTCCCAGGGACACGATCAGCACCTAGCAATTTCGGTACTCCCATTGCCCATTGTCCTTCTGGGCCTTTAACTTCATGCGGGGCTTTCCCCAGTGCAGGATACGTTGAAGCTGGTGGGGGACCCCTTAACTTATCACCCGCTATGTTCTTTGACTTTGCCTGTTGTGTTTTTGATTCCTGTTCTTGTGTCTTCTTTGGTATAGTAGTAGGCTTCTCTTCAGGCTTGGCTTTTTGCTCTTGTTGTTTATGTTCCTTCCAACGTTCACCTATTGTTGGTTGTCTTGATTGCTGATGTTTGCCATCATGTGTTGGGACATGCTGGCCCTGTATATGTACCGTCAACATTCTTGGGTCTCCAGGTTTGCCCGACTTTGCATTCGGCAATGAAATAGACCTCTGAAAATTTTTCACTTGTTGGAAATCCCTTCGATTCATATCTACCTGCTGTCGTGGATCTATCAAGGAAACAGAAAATGTATTAAAACCAGAGCCTTAGCTATCAATGTTCCTATGCAGAATAATAGTAAAGTTACATATGACTGAAACTGTACATAATAATACACATAATATTTCAACTAAAAAAACCAGGCAGATTGTTGTGTTATGCTTTGGTAGTGAAAATGTATACAGTAATCGATACATCAACTGTGACACTTTTTAACCTTATGGATTGTTTTTAACTTTCACAGGGATGCATCCGGGGCACAAGTTATACATATAATACTATAAACATAAGCGTGAAATTTTTACGCAAGTTACAAATACAAATAAATTATGGTTTGTTATATAATATATATATAGCTCATTTTGCTGAGCTATGCTATGTGAACTCCAAATTAAAAAAAAAATCTTGAGTTTGTAACTACAAGCTGCTGATACCATGGTGGATTAGTCATTAGAATTATTATTTTAAACTAAACTTGTTTACCGCAATTCCATTAAAAAACAGTTGAAAATAAAATATGAAGCAAGCCATCACTTGACTTTTTAATTAGTGATCAACAAAACTTCAAGTTCAGGTCACAATGTCTGTGTATAGAAAATAGTTTTAAAATGTATAAACAAAAAATAAAATTTTATAACAATATTTGGTTTTATTTGAAAATTATTAGACCTATTTACTAAATGCAGTATCAATAAACACCGTACTTTGTTATGATAGAACTGATTGTCAATGGAAACTTGATATTTTCCACAGGCAATGTGGGCCAGTCTGTCAAGATTGAGTGGGAATATAGTGATGGATGGCTATTTAGAAAACTCAATAAAATCAAGGTAGTTGTCTTTTCTTCCATTTCTGGTATAATAATCTCTATATTAACGTAATAAACCTAACCAGAGAACTACCAACGCAACTGTCGAGTTAAAATAATATTTTGTTAAGTTGAAGAATCACAACGATTAAATTAATTTCCAGGTTTTTATCAAAGGTAAATTCAGCTAGGCTCTAGCGTGTTTGAACACGCTGCTGCACTGTTGGTTCATGTTAGGCCTAGCCGTCGTCAGCCTATCGACGCTCAATGGCAGGGGATAGCTAGGCCTATGTATTGGAAACTGACACCAGATCAAGTTTACGAATTTTTCAATTTACGAACACCCCTTGGTACCAAGGGGTACGTAAAATGGACGTCTTACTGTAGTTCCTACTGCATTACATTCATAGGAACTAATAATGACTACAGGTCTCCCTCTAATGAAAGACTACTCCAATTAAAACCACCTCCAATTAAAGACCACTTTTCTGTGGTCCCAAATTAACAAATGTCTTTTATTTTTATTTTTCTAATTAGAGACCAAAGCTGCTAAAGACCATGAAAACCCCGGTCCCAAGAGTGGTCTTTAATTGGAGGGAGACATGTATATGAATTAATAATATCAATAATACTAATAATAATAATAATAATCAGAATATATAAATATGATGAGGGTGGTGATGATGATAATAAGATGATAATAATGACGATCATGAATGACGCTGACTAAGAGAATCATAATGATGCCATGATGCTGATGGAGATCCAAAATATATACCTGTATTTTGTCGATTGAATTCTTGTCGATATCTTTCGTTGTCCTGGTTGCCTTGTCTTTGAGCGGGGGGTTTTCTTTCACGTTTGCGGGGGCAGTCTTTAACAAAGTGCCCAACACGTCCACATAAACGACATAACCGGTCATCAGGTGGATTACAGCCATCAGTTAAAATATCAACATTGAAAAATATACGCTGAAATTATAATGATAGCAGAATAAATGCTGCATTATCTATACTCCACACAAGTATCTTTCATTTCTTTTGAAGGACAAAAATAACAGGATAAGCACAAAACAGGGGAAGATCCAGAGATTGTCTAACCGGGGGAGGGGGGCCAATCGAGACAACTCTACCCTAGGGGGATCGGGGTGGGATGCCCCAGGGAAATTTTTCTAGACACCAGGAAAACTTCTGAGGTGTTTTGGGCGACCAATAATTTCTTTTTCTTTTTTTATTTTTGCCCCCCTTTTCTTTTATTTTGTAAAAGCAGGAGCCGGGGAAGGCCAGGGCCACTCCCTTAAATCTGCCCCTGCTGAAAATTGAAGCTCATCAGGTTGTACATGGTATCTTCTAGACTAAAGGCCTTAAGAATGCATTCATTCATTCATTCATTCAGTAAACTTTTGTTTGACCATTTTGAAAAGTTTGTACATAATTTGATTGTCTTACGAAGTCTTGCAGGAAATTATGGCTGGGTGGTAGAGGACGAGGCGTGCCAAAGTGTTCCCTAGCTTTCTGGAATACCAGCATGATGTATGAATTCACTGTAACAAAAAAAAAAAAAACACTGTTAGAAATCAAAAGCAGATATAATAACTATGTTATGGTACAATACTAAGTAAGGTTGTGTAAAAATCCAGAAAGTGCCAATATCCAACCAGAGACAAAGTTTATGTTGGATGATATATAGGTGCATCTTTAATACACCGTGTTGAAATTGGGTCAATTCCATTATTTTTTAGGTAAGTTCCACATACATATATATTCCATATACAGGATACAGGTAAGCATTCACAAAATTTGGACTTACTCTTCCTTGAGACTCCGCCACCAAGGTTATGGTCCAAATCAAAAGGATCTTCGATAGCAATGGAACGCGACGACCACAGCTTCTCAAACTTGGTGAGGTACTTCTTCTGGCGGATGCTGACCACGTACCGCCTGAAGTCAAAACTTTCAGTGTAGAAACGAAGAAGTCCTAACCACAGTTCTCCCACTGAACATTTGTTCTTTCCGTAGTTCTTCCAAGCTGATTTCTGTTTGAGAAGCATAAAATATATATTTACCGTACATTCTAGCATATACAGTGATCTGCGTATACAGCCAGGCACGCATTGCGCCCGGGGGTCGTCGGCAGACTCAGTTCTATAACGGACACAAAACGCTACAACGCGCGGACAATGGATCGTTTTTTTTTATGACAATCCGTTAGACTGTCACCGACAATTTGCATACGGCGTCTCGTCGTTTAAAGCTGACAGGGAGCAGAGATAAATTCTACGGCCGACGGTCGTACAAACGTCGTACGACGTAGTGAGTGCTTACGACAACTCCCGCGTTTATGAAGATTTTTGGACAATTTTTTGTATGTCAGGTAAGTCCGCCATCTCTCACTATGAGAATTCCTACTTTTTGCTACCATTTACGTCTTGATACTGCATCTAGCTGGCTAAAAACAGAGCTAAATGTAGGACTAATCTTCCAAATAAATAATACCATTTTATGTGCTTTCAAAAGTTCATCAAAATGTTATTTCCCTGCATTTAAAATTGTGTTCGTTCAATATTTTTTCTCTAAAAGTTAGCTAACGTACCCATTTTGTAAACATACTCACCAAATTTTGGATGTCACTGAAGAACCACACATTCCTTTCATCAACAATTTCAGTAGGTCTTTTCTCATTTGAATACAGCTAAATAAGAATAATATAATATAAATACCAGAGCTTTGATGCACTTAACATTAAATATTTAAAAAAATAAGAATTTACCCCTCTCTGCAAACTTACTCTTGTTTTTTTCTTTTTCTTTTTTTTTTTTTTTTTTTTTTTTTTTCTTTTTCTTTTTTTTTTTTTTTTTTTTCTTTATGTAATAGTTATAACCAATGTTTATGATAATATTTGATGTAGAGATTGCCAAAAGTAGTTTGGAATTTTAAAATCAGAGTTCTGATTTCACACTGTCCACTGTGTCTATAGCTCTCTCCACAAAAGTCTGTACAACTGACAGGTTTAATGCTAATGTGTAGACCACAATTTGCAACATGTTATATCCACCAGATAGCTATGTTTGTAGGTATTTGATCCAAAATTGGAGACATATACTATTGAGTACACTGAAGCACATGCTAGATATGTAACTGATACAGTAGCATTTAATATAGTACCGTAAAACCTAAAATTGAAGCCTGGGCTTCTTTTTTTTTTTTGCGAACTTTGGATGGGCTTCTTTTCGAGGCTACTTTTGCGCAGTAAAGAGTGAGAGGGGGGGGGGAGCCTTCTTTTCAAAACTAACGCTTTAAATTTTGGGAATTTGTATTATAAAACAATAATTAAGGCCACTGTAACATCAATCTGTATTATTGAGTGAATTAACTGGCATTAAATCACCTAAACTACTGTATAAATCAAGTTTGAATCAAAATTGATTTTAATTTATTTTGTTTTTTGATACTCATGTGCAGTGTACATATTGTGCTATTTCGGACAGAAGACTATGCTATCTTTTCAAAACTAATATTGCACATAAAGAGGGGCTTCAATTCGAGATGGACTACCTCTTGAGATTAAGGTAATTGGGCTTCAATTCAAGGTTTTACGGTATATACAATGGCATAACTAGGGGTGCATGAGGGATGCACCACCTAGTTATGCCACTTACAGTATACTCGTGCTCCCCACATAGTTCAAAGCAAAAAAAAATCATACTCAAGTATTTAAAAAAATCACCTTATTTTGCAAGCTAGCTCAACCCCCCGCCCCCAATTTCAAGACTCTTAGCTACGCAACTGAAATATCTGATCAAACATTGTTATATGCCTATATATAGTCATGATGTGCATATATATGGTCATGATGTGATGTCATCATGACCATATTTAACATTAGGCAATGTTATTTCCAAATAAAATTTTATAGTTGCGATAGGGCTTAATAGTCTATGCCTGGTGATGATAGCGACTGGTCTTACCTCCTGAAGAACCGGTATGACAGGTGGATCACACTGCTGCAGGTAGAAGAGCACCATCAGTGTGTACGCATATGATGAGAGACTCCCTCTAGAGGCATCTCCTATCATACAATTCTGAAAATGCAAACATTATCATATAGTCAACACTTTTGTGATGTACACTATGTTTATGCTCTTTTAGAACCATTACCTGTATGATTAGCACGGTTTAAAACCCTTACATAACTTTTTTTTTTAAAAAGAATCGTATTGGTTCAGAGAAATAAATCTGTTTAATTTCAGAATTCCAGAAAAAGGTAAATGATTTATTACTTGCTAATAGACAAAAATATGTAAACTATTTGTTTATAATATCTTACATATAAAAGAATAACAATGGCTTTGAAACCCAGTACATGACAACTGCAAAAAAATAAGCTCCCAGTGGGAGGTTGTTTATACGGCTTGACATGTTTTTTTGGGTAATTTCTATGTGAGATTTGATTACTGTGAAACTTCTGATTGAAACTCTTGGTCAGTACTATTAGGCAAAAGTAAACATTAGGCTTTAAAAAAACGACTAATCCATCCACGTTTTCTGTGTTGGCAATTGACATGAATAACTGTGCAAGCTAAAGATTACTGACAGCTTTAGCCTAGGCATGGCATCCTATTTTATAAGCTTACGTTTGGAGAAGGTTAATTTCTATCTTTAACTTATTATGATGTGGGGGCAATAGACACAAAAAGGGCCACAAATAAGTCTCATTTCAAATATTCCTCTTATAATCAATTTGGTATGTGTTACTGCTTACAACAAGATCACACATGCCTACAACTTAAACTATACAACAACAAAAAACTTTTTTTTCGTGCACCTTAGCAAAAGCTTTGATGGTAAAGCCAAGTTGTTTCACTCGTTGGTCAATGTTGCAGTAGGTTTTGAGCATCTGTGTGTTGTGCTGTGCGAGAGTGTTGTAGAGGCTAATATCACCCTCCAGTTGGCTCGGACGATGAACAAACTTCACAATGGGAACCTTAGCCGTCGTAATCGCAAAAATGTTGTACAGGTCACGTTTCTTCCTAAGGATGTTCCCAAGATCATCGATGATACATGGCACATTCAGAGCCTGAAGTGAGATAAAAAAAAAATTATATACTTTACCTTAGTATTTAAAATATTTAAATACTGTATATAAATAAATATACAGCAAAAACACAATCAGATATGTAAAGAAAGGTACTTAAACTGAATCTTTTTCTGTGTTTTTCCGTTACTTTTATACTGATTTGTGTAAGTGAGCCCTTTTTTATCTGCCATGCTGAAAGGGCTACCCACTTAATATATAGTTAAATTTTAAAAATCTCTCCTCGCTTTGAGGATGATATTACAAAAATATAATTAGACTTACCGAAGCATCTTTATGTGTACTCATGGTCATGCATATATCAAGATCACTTCCCTGAAAGCCAAAACCATTCTTGGAAGAACCAAATAAGGTGAGCTTGGCCTCTGAAAACAAAAAAAGGCAATAAATATTACTACAATATTTAATAAAATAGTGTATAAAACAAAGATGTGCGATACTGTAAATGGCAAAAAAAAAGCAAAATGATTGTTAAAAATAATGTTTTAATACCGGTTACTTTGCAGACAAAATGTAACAAGTTGTTGCATGCTGTAAAAATCTACTTTCCCAAATATTGCTAAACAAAAAAAAAATGTAATATTCATTTAAGATTACGATTCTTCTCAATACAAGCTACTACTAGCCTAATCTAGGCTTACATCAATGTAATGCATTAAGCATTAACATTCTCAACTAAGCTCCAGTAACTTAATATTGTTCCTATTAGTAACAATTTTAGTATAGAGTACTACAGTGTTACGTCATGATACCACGTGATACTACTCCGTTGCTATCATTGCAAAATGCGTTCAACCAGACGCCATTTTCTCCACAGACGAACAATTGATCCCAATTTCTAAAGTAATTATTAAGATGCTGTATCCTACATTTTCTTTGTAAATTTTAATTGATTAAATGTGTGGTCAATATGTAATATAATGCATGCTTTTGTGTTTTTAGTACATTTTGATGGTAAAATATTAGATTTTAAAATGCTTATTCCAGAAAGCCTATGAAGTCATTTAGGCGTAATGAACGTTAATGTTAACAACAGAGAGCGCCACCTGGCGTTGTGACGACACGACTGTGGTACTCTATACATGGCAGAACTTGGGTTTAAAAATTCAAATATAAATTGTGAAAATAGTTTAGTTTAGCCTACAGTAGGCAGAGATATGCAGTTCTAACCAAGACAAAGGGCTGTGCACCTTGTGTGGGGTCTGTTTCACCGAAAGAGGTTAGGCTCTAGTATTAGTAGAGCCAATAGCAAAATAAGATACCTAATATGGTACACTTGCGGAATATCGGGAACTTCTCCAACATTGGTACATAAGGCAAGACATTTTTATACCGTATTTCGCAAACTTATTATTTTAAAGATAAAGATAAAAATAAAAGTAAAATTTTGTTGTCTTGTTTAATAGCAAACAGTTTTCCAAAAAACATTCAGATGGAGGACAAAATAAAAATAAAATATTATTGGTGAATGTAAACAGTGTAGTAATGGGGTGGTTAAATACTTTAAATTTATATAATTAGGAAGAAATATACATATCTTATTTTTTTAGATTTTATGGCAGCGGCGGGCATAATAAAAAATAAAGAAAAACTTGAATTTTTTTCTGGCACTAAACATTAGATTTAGGGTTAGTATCTTTGTAGAATTAGCAAAATATTCAGTCATTGAACTTTCCACCTCATTTTTTACTGGAAATTGTGAACATAACAAACATAAAACTGAAATATGCAGATAATGTAAAGAATACCTGGATAATTCCTCCTGATGTGTGACTGCAGTCCATTTACAATGGTGTCACGATTCCTATGCTCTGCGTCCTTCAATTCAAACTCACCTACAAAATAAGATTATAAAAAAATAAATAAAAAAACGGCTTAGGAAGTAAATTCATCATAGCAAACTAATAGTGGTAGCTTTTTGTTGATATACTTACATGGTATTTGTGTACACAACCCATCAATCCGTTTCATGTATCCACTGTGCATGCGAGGCAAAGGTTTCAGTGTTGGAAAGTCATCATCAGGACAATTCTGTATAAAAAAGATTGTGAATAAAACATTAAATGCTTTTAACATCAACTGATATGGATGTGATAAACATGTGCAAATTAATTATACACATACTGATGAATGGTTATGATGATGTTGATGATGACGATGGCAGCAATGGCAATAACAAAAAAAAAAAATTTTAGTAAAAGCAAAAATTTTAATAATTATTAATGAAGTGTTTGTATATTGAGTACAAACTACAAAATATTAAATACATAATAATAAAGTGAATATATCTAATATTTTAAAAGTGCATATTAAATTACAAAATAAACAAAATGATAATAACTTTAACTAAAAGCAACATGTGACTCAAATTAGCTGTATACATTGCATTTTTTGTTACACAGGATTAGGATTTCACGGTTTACACTCCTTTCAAAAGATCTTAGCTCACAAAATAGGAGGAATGAAATTGGCATGATATTGATCGTGTCTTTGTCACAAACTCTATATTCTCACATATCAGATGATGCTTCAAACAGCAAATTATGATTGAAGAAAAGGTGGTCGTCTTATACTAGCAACAAAATCAAATCGTTGGTTTTTAAATCATTTTTGTCTCGTGCTTTACAACTGAAATTAACTAACTGTTAGTACGAATGGACAGAATTTTAAATGTAGAGAAAATAAAATTTTGAGGAACATTCAAAAGCCCATAAATGGTATCATTTGGAAGATTTGTCATACACTTGGCTACGTTTTAAACTTCAGCCAGTCAGATGCAGTGTCAAGAATATAAAAAGCAGCAAAAAAAGTAGGAATATCGATAATGAAACATAGAGGTCGGCTTATAAGTCCGACACGTTAAAACATTCTAGTGTGAACAGATACTGTAAAACTTTACCTTGATTGAGTGTCCGTGTTTGTTGCAATGTGAACAAAACACATTGACTTGTTCTCCATTAGTAAGTATAACAACATCAAATGCAAATTCAAAATTTTCTGGCACTACATCTGGTGACTCCTTCAAAGCTGCTTTCGTTTTGTCCGCTTCCCTGCCATCTGCTTCTGGTTTCAGAGCAACGTCTGAGGTGTTCTCTCCTTCAGTGCTTCTCTCTGCTTCGCAGATTTTTATGGCATTTTCGATGATCTCGCGTCCAAACTGCTTAACCTCCTCTGAGACTTCATCATCTGCCGATATCTCATCAGCTGCTTTTGAGGACTTAGTGATGACATTCCCATCTGATGCATCCGTGGCAGCATTTGGTGTCTTTCCACCAACTGCTTCCGATGCAGTTGATGAACTGTCAGTTGGGAGTGCATCTGTTACTGAGGGTTCTGTCTTTGTCGGCTCTTTAGAAAGCGGTTTAGAATCCGCAATGTCCTTCTGTTTACTATATTGAGGGGTACCAAAGTACAGAAGAGCAGACTTGAATCTATCCATCACATATTTAAAGATGGTCGGTGAAGACAGGCTCTTAGCAACATTACGTTTGCTTGTGTTGTATGGATCTGAAGAAAAAAAAACACAAAATCAATTAATATACATAACATAAAAACAATGGTAAAAAAATCATTCAAATCGGACATTTCCTTATGAAGTTACAAGTGTTTCAACATACGTTTGTTTAAAGAACAATATATGAGAAATCAGCCTTCAAAGTTTATGATTTCAGGCATTTATCATGCAGAAACTACCATCAAATCCTTAAAAAGTGTTGTTTTAACATTGAAAATGGGGAAAATAACAGCATAGAATGATGTATAGATATGTAAAGATTAGTTTAGTGCAATAAAATAGATTTTTTAAAAGTTCCAGCATGTTTTGGCCATTTTCTCTGAAACACGATTTGCGACGAGTGACTGTTTTGGCTTGTCTTTGCCACATATATTCTGCCTGACTGATTTTCAGTGACTGTGGGAACAACTTATACAACATGTCCCATAGCTTAACTATTTATTAAACATACATATTTGGAAGATATTTTGAATGATCATGATAAATGTAATCTGTAGACAAAATTTGCAACAAAATTACAACATAAAATGTAGCATGGTGGCGTGATAATACAATCATTGTGTGCAATAAATTTAATTGATAATGTAATAACTGTATAGAAATAATTTATACATTATAAAAACATGTTGTTTCAAATTAAATTACCAACAACAGATGCTGATATCGTGGTAGACATCAGGAAATGGAAAAAGGTAAAAGACAGTCAAAGATTTTCTTAATAAGCTGCAGTATGCCTACAATTATCAAGAGCTGAAAAAAGAAAATGCTTGACATAAAAGAATGAAAGAGATGGATTCTATAGACCTATAAAAAAAAAAAGATGACTAGTTGTAGTAGAGGTAGCAGAGGCAGTAGTAGCAGCAACTGTAGCAGAAGTAGCAGCAGCCACTGTAGCAGTAGTAGCTGCAACTGTAGTAGTAGCAGCAGCAGCTGTAGCAGTAGCAGCTGCAGCAGTAATAGCAGCAGCTTTAGCAGTAGTAGCAGTAGTAACTATTGCAGCAGCTGTAGCAGTAGTAGCTATAGCAGCAGTAGTAGCTGTTGCAGCAACAACAGCAGCAATAGCTGTAGCAGCAGCAGCTGTTGCAGTAGCAGCTGCAGCAGTAATAGCAGCAGCTTTAGCAGTAGTAGTAGTAGTAGCAGTAGTAACTATTTTGCAGCAGCTGTAACAGTAGTTGTTGTAGCAACAATAGTAGCTGTTGCAGCAGTAGTAGCTGTTAAGGCAGCTGTAGCAGTAGTAGCTGCAGCAGTAGTAGTTGTTGCAGCAACAACAGCAGCAATAGCTGTAGCAGCAGCAGCTGTTGCAGTAGCAGCTGCAGCAGTAATAGCAGCAGCATTAGCAGTAGTAGTAGTAGCAGTAGTAACTATTTTGCAGCAGCTGTAACAGTAGGAGTTGTAGCAACAGTAGTAGCTGTTGTAGCAATAGTAGCTGTTAAGGCAGCTGTAGCAGTAGTAGCTGTAGCAGCAGTAGTAGCTGTTGCAGCAACAACAGCAACAATAGCTGTAGCAGCTGTAGCAGAAGCAGCAGCAGCATCAGAATGGTAGCACCAATGTTGACATTTACCTTCTATTGCAAGCCGTCTCTTGGATATTCGCATCTCCTCTCTTGTAATGGACGTAGACTTCCTTATGCAGATAACCTCATCCTCAATTTGATACTCAACACAGTAGAACTTCAACATGTCCAGCCACAGTTCCCCTACAGTCTTTGTGTTTGTTGTCTTGAAAATCTGTCCCTGAACAATTAAATGAGAATTTCAATGTAAGATTATTTTGCGGATTGAGAAATGATCAATTATTTAATTATAAATGAGAACGGAAATTATTTTGTGGAATGAGAAATGATAAATTTGTTGAGAGGTTGTTATTAACATAATAAAAATACAGCTACATTTAACAGTGTTCTCCCCAGGATTTGTTTAAGGTGTAATGGGAAAATGCGCGGCGACACATTGTTCGGCGCATAATATTCCACGGTGCCACAGTTGTATTAAATCCTGCTTTCCATATTATTAGGCCCAATAAAAAAAACCATCAGTTTATTAACCTCGTTCGTGCACATGTATTCTATAGTAGTGAAAAAAAATTTAAATTTTTGAGTAGAATTAATTATTGACTTAAATAAAATTTTCCATTCGGTTATGTATGTTTTTATTTTGTTATAGTTCATTTTCTGTACTTTACGTTATAGGCTACTGCACCAAAAAAATAACTTGACAGGTAACACACTAGGCCTAGGTATCTCTTGAAACAATCTCAAACTCTGCTCAAACCGCCAATGAGATCCCTTATCAGAAGCTTGCCATTTCGTTACCATGACAATAGAGTGGGAGATACCACAGCCAAACATGTGTGGCAGTGTGTGATGAGTCTTTTTGACATGGCAAACCTGCATGTGCTACTAATATGTTAATAATAATTCATTAAAAAAAATAAGACAACAATTAATAAACATTTTATTGTGTAGAAATGTATTTATTACCACGTAGAAATACTAATTTAGTTTTAGACAAATTAGAAACCAAGTTTAAGAAAAAAGTTACGTACAAGGAGAGAAAGCCACATGGTTAACCTTTCACCTAGTGCCACTGTTGCGTGATTGCTTTTGTTTTTTTGGATAAGGGCCAACTTTCACTGCCTGGACTTGAGAATGTCTGAAGTTGTTGTTGATGTTTATTTACAAATAAAACACATAAAATGTGTTATCATGAGTATACATGGAACACAAATAATAAACTGTGTTTTAAAAGGTTAAATAGAAAGAGTGATGTAGGCACAGTGAGTTTAAAAGGTAGAAATTAGTCAGAGAAGTAGGTAGGCTTAGCACAGCACAGTGAAACATGGTATCATTTTTTATGTTAAATAAACAAGGTGCAAGAGCTCAGACTTGTGGTTTCTTTGGCTACTGGCTTATAGTTTATCCTTTGTTAATGTCAAATTTACGGAAAGATAGAGTGCATTTCCCTTGTATTTTGAAATTGTATATGTAGAGCTTGTGTATAAACAATTGATAAACTGAACATTTACCAGTGATACTACAAGGTGTATCGGTAAATTTAAGCTGTAACAGTAAACTTGTTTACTGAATGAAGCTGTAACAGTAAACTTGTTTTCTGAGTGAAGCTGTAACAGGGCCGTTGCCCTGAGGAAAACACTGTTTAATACTATAAAGTTTTCTCTTTACTTCTTAAGCAAGGATCTACTACAACCCCTATTATTACCTTCTTCCTTACAACCTAATAAATGTGAATAGTAAACCTTAGATCTCAAGTTCAGACAGAGTTGATTTCCTTCTCATTTTGCTAATACAGTTGAACTAAGCCGAATTCAAAATGGCATTGAGAAGTTGTTGACCGAGATAAAATTTGACTTCCAGATTGTTAATCAATGGAAAACACAAGAATTTGTCATGTAATTAACTTAGAAATTATTCAAGTTAGTCAAAGTCAACTAAGGCAAATCTATAATTCTTTATTCAACATAATTATAGCTTGCTGTTTCTGGGTTTTTTCCATGCATTGCTGCTTCTGCATTATTCCCATATGCCTTGTGTAAACATACGCATTGTAATAATTACTATATGGTATATATACTCTGGAGGCAATAAAAAAACCTATAGTTCCCCGTGCTGTGTGACAACATGTATATTGTCTCTTCCGCAATTCTAATAATGTAAATGAAATAGCAAGATTGAAATTATTAAAGCCCTGGAGCTTTCTTAAGTGAAAATAATGTTGATTTTCTCTTCTTAATGAAGCAGTAGTTGTCAAAATATACGTTCGTTATCAATTAATTACCTGAGAGTTATCCTTAACTGTTGCTACATCAGAGTCCTTTAGTCCAAGCACCTAAAAGATTATAAAAATTAACATTGTTGAAAGACTGAGCTTGTGTATTGAACAATGTTTCATCACATTTAATAATAATAATAATAATAATAATAATAATAAAATAATAATAATAAAATAATAATAATAATAATAATAATAATAATAATAATAATAATAATAATAATAATAATAAGTGGGATTGTGAAGTGCATAATACAGGTCTCTATACGCTCGAGTGATTCGCAAATAAAGTCAAGAATTAAAGTAATTAATGTAATGAAAGAGCACAGCATTGACCCGACTTCAAACATACATGAAGCAACATGATCTCCTGATGCGTTTCCAATTTCAATGATTTCAAACAATAAAATAAGACTCATTTGTTTGCTGTACTTTCATGAATATTTAGTTTAATGTGTGTTTGTGTGTATTGTATTTGTTGACTCTTTGTTGTTATTGATTTGCTAAGCTACATCCACACTATCAAATTTTCTGTCCATATATAGTCATGATGAGTCCATATATAGTCATGATATGATGTCATCATGACTATATATAGGCATGTCACATGTTTTTGTGAAATGAAATTGAATAACCTAGACAGATCTTAAGACTCACTTGTTTGAATTAATGGCTCTACTTTCATAAATACTGTATTTAGTTTATGATGTGTGTGTATCGTGTTTGTTGTCTCCTTGCTGTTATTGATTGCTAGTTCATTATGTTGGTTGTGGTTCTTAATATGTATTGTGATTTGATAATTCTTTGAATAGATGAGGAGACATGGCTTGCATTTTGCAACTGTTAGGGAAGGTGGTGTAACATAAGTGCACAATAACAATTTAATTGGATCAGATATGTCTGAAACAGGTATTAGACAATGTCTGATAAAACATTGAAATGCCCACCTTTCCAACACACCTTTCCAGAATGTCATCAAACTTAACAACTGCCCCCAATCAGAACAGGAATACTAGCATGTCCTACAAATGGACATGTTGTCCCAAAAATTTTGTGTGACTTTCGCAACAATATATAAGGGGCGGGGCTTAATGTAAAGGTCCAATATCAGAAATACAAAAACTTAATTGTTTGATCAAATATGCATGGAACAAATATACACTGTCAGACAATTCATATCAGACATTGTGAAATCTGACAGACAATCTGATAATTATTATGTAATATTAGATTTATACTAACCTCATGAAGGACTGGTAGTACAGGGTTGGGGCATCGCTGTAGGTAGAAAACCGTCATAATGGTGAAGGAATACGCTGGAATGCTACCGTCTCCTTGTACGTCTATCTTACAGAGACGCGCCAGTTTACGTAGTCCAATGGCTAGCGGTTTGACACGTTCGTCCATCTCACTGTACGCAAGTAACAGCTTGCTCGACTTGTAAGCGTGGTCATTCATGATACTGATCTTCCCGGGTAGGCCGCTACAGTAGTAAAAGGCATATATTCATTTAACAACAATAATAATAATCTATTCGTTTATATTGTGCAAATTTCATTAAAATATGTTCAAATGCACATTACAATAAAATAGACTAGGGTACATATTCATTATATTCAACTAAAATCATTAGAACACTTGTGTTATTAGTATTATTTATACAAATACAAGCAAAAAGTACAAAGAAATGAAAAAAACAGATAACTTTTAGTGATGTCATTACGTTCAACATCATACCTTCATCATGCAATCTAAAGCTCTATTAACAAGTGTAAAACATTACCTTTTACTTATTTAGAGCAATTTTTTGCCAACATTTTTCATGTAATGGTGTTAAGGGAGACATTGGGAATTGAATGCAGGACCCTATAAAGATTTGAATAGAAGTTAACTTACCTTTCTGGTTCGATAAAATCTATACATGGAAACTTTGCCTCAAAATCTGGCTGCACCTCGGAAAACAATTTACCTGTTGGGTGAAAAGGCACAAATTGATAAATATTAGACCAGTTTTGGTGGTTAGAGAAGTTTTTAAAGCTATAAAATAGGAAAAAAATTAGCATGACCACACCGATAACTCCATAGGTCGATTGATTAAACTGGTGGGTGGCACTGTCCATCAAACTCTCATTGTGTTTTGATTGAAGGATGTACACCGCCATTCGTCCTTCAAAATAATATGCGAAGCTGTTGCGTGCATAATAGCATATGTGCACGTAAATTATCTAATCTAATCTAATCTGGTCATATATTTATAGCGTCTTTCTTTATGGACACGAAGCACTGTAAGTTTTCCCCTGGTCATTGGGACCACATACTTAAGTGTTGCTGCCATCTTGGTGCAGGAGCAGGCAACCCCACCATTTACCCATTTATACTCCTGGGTGGAGAGAAGTAACGTAGAAAAAGTGCCTTGCTCAAAGACACAAGCGAAATTCATAGCGAGGGATTGAAGCCACGAGGTTGGGAAACCAAACCGTTCCCTCTGGGCCAAACCGCTTACACAATATTTTACTATATGATCTTAGTACGTAAATAATAGGCCATGGGTCCCCAGGCCGAACATGTCAATGAATGACCATTGTACATTTTACAATTACATCCAGAAGAGATATTTCAGCCATTGGTCTTAAGTGCACACACTCTGTACACTTAACTAGAAACAGTGCAGAATTGTCTCCTAGTCAGGGATCTCAATTTGGACGATGTCATTCCCAGGTCATCTGGTTGTATTATTAGCTTTGTCAATCACATCTAATTTCATATTTATGCGCATGGTGATTCATATTGCGAGATATGATTATTTTGAGGTAGATTTTTGCTTGCTTGAATGCAAAAGTGCAGGAGGCCGTCCCAATATTCAGGAAACTCCAGTGACTTGGGACACCTGCCTAGTGTTCTATCTAATCATTACCAAACTGTGTGAGTGTCTTTAGAGGTAAATAAGATGAGATGCTGTTGCGGCTCCACGCTTTTGGAATAAACTGCCAATAAATATTCACTTGTGTTAGTTTACTGCTTTGTTCAAAAAAGCTCTCAGGACGCATCTGCTGTCGGCTGCTTTTTCCTAGTTCTCTGGTTTGTTTTGCTTGCTTGCTTAATTGTTTTAGTTTGATACTCCCATTACTTGAGCACCTGTGTGTAATGAATAGGCAGGCAATGTGCCTTAAATTGCCTGTAAACAGTGCGTGATATAGTGTGGTGTTTCTTTTCTTGTAGCTTTAGGTTCATGGTGGTAATTTTTGGTTCCCTTCTATAGCGCCTTGAGCACTACTGCAATGGATTTGTGCGCTTTATAAATCTTATTATTATTATTATTACAAGTACCTATTGACTTAAAACACCATCCCCACCTTGCCCGATTCTGATTGTAATTCCCTTAAATTGAATATCAAATTATCCTTACTGTTCTCTTTCATGAGGTGGGCAGCATCTACGAGGCCTTTGGCTGCTTTGTGTTCCTCCTTACTATCAACTGGCAAGATAAGTTCAATGTTCAGATCACTCTGCTTGAAACCAAATCCACTTACGGATGAGCCAAACAGACGTAAATCAACACCTGGGAATGACAATTGAAAACATCAATCAATTTTTTCCATCTATATACTGCCACTCCCAACAGTCAATTGCTCTTGACAAAATAAAAATTTACATTTAGTAATATTTTTTAATACCAGAAACCAAATTTTAAGCAAATACCTGGCATCTTCTCCTTGAATGCAGTTTTCATCCTTGCAACAGCAACGTTCCTTTTGTTCATGTCTTCATGAGACATGGCTTCCTGTTGAACTACTGCAACCAGGAGATGCGTGAGGGCGTCTAGGTGAGCAGGGCTTGCTTGTTTTAGCTTTTTGATAGCTTCATCAACTTTCATACTCTGTGGGCAAATAAATATAAATGATAGTGAGGATAAGTTAGAGGGTGGTAGCTAGCGAAATAAGGTATAACATAACTTCTTCAGTGTATTTTTTGTTCTAGCAAACTTTCAATGAGGCAACTAGTGCCCCCCACTTTTGAGGTTTAAGATTGAAATAGTGCAGGATTTCCTAAAATCTTTCACATAAATAAATATACATTCAAAATTAGTCCTGAGAATGTAATGACTGTCAAAAAAAAACCATTCTTGGAAAAGGCCTGGCAAAGTATACACACCATGGATGTGTCTTGAAAACAAACTGCATAGGATCCCCTACACGTAAGCCTAGAAAAATAATACCGCCAAGGGTTTTCGATAAAGGTATTATCTTAACCAAAGGTGGGCGAACTGCGGCCCACACACCCATGCAGATTTGTTGTGGCCTGCCAATATAAAATAAATTCCCTATATGTGCGGCCTGCCAACCACATTTGGCTAGAAAAACCCCTTGTTTCGTATGGCCCGACACCGATCATTTGTAAAAAGTAATATTAAAATTGGGGATAAAGTACACAAGAAACATCAGAGTTTGGGTGCGGCCCTCAGTGTAAATAAAAAATTCACTTTGGAGGACTCCGACCCACTTATGCCCACCCTTGGTCTTCACTTTATCTTCAGTAATCAAGTATTAATCCATAAATTTCCATTATGTAGATTGTTTGCATTTTAAAATGTGGCTTATCACTACTGCAGTAGATAAATAAAACCCATAGGTTTACCTGTACTACAGTACTTAACATTAGTTACTACTGTACCAGACATATTACTGTACATACAAGACCGAATTTATAAACATTACATAATAATAACTAATATTTATACGTACCTTAAATACTTTAACGTGCTTCTGATCGTTGATGTGTTTGTTACAGGCCGGGATGTTATCACAATGATACTGGCATAAACGACAGAAGAACTTTGCATTTGGAAACTTGGGATTTTTCTACCAAAGAAATTGGATACAATAACATGTTACGGTATATGCATATCAAAAACTCAAAATTACTATCACTGAGATAATATTTGTATAAATATTTATGATGGAACTATGATTACGGTATATAAATAAAAAAAAAATTTTGTTATTCCCAACTAACATCACACAAGTCACATGTAAATCTGTAGTTGACGCTTAACTGAGTTGGCAGATATCTGGTCTTTGAATACAAGAGTTGAGACAATAAATACAGCAATTGATAATAAATTTATTATCAATTGCTGTATTTATTGTCTCAATTCTTGACCATCATATCAGCCCAAGCAGTATTGAGTCATGATTCAGCATTTTAAAGAAATGTACTCAACAAATTTGACTGTCTCATTCATGAAATGCTATTTATTAGACAATTAAAACCCAGTCTGAATAAACAATGTGACTGTCAAAGCAAAACTTTTTATCTAAACACAGGGATTAATATCCCACTGTTATCAACTTTGACATTGTAGATTAGCTTTTTTCTGTTGATTATAGTTGCTGTATATTCTATACTTCATCATTTGATCTTGAAAATGACACCATGAAGGAGTCGAAACGTCGATCTTTTCTTTTTAGCGTTATTTTTATATTAAATTCTTGTATTTATTTTTATAATTAAATTTTGTATGTTAATTATTTACAAAATTGTAAGGCTCACATGCAATTTGGCTTTCGAGCCACGACTTGTGACCTCTTTCTTATTGATATTTTTTTTCTTATATGAATAAAAGTGAAATATAACAGATTCAACAAATAAAATATAGGTGCAATATCTGGGTAACTGTCTCCCAGAGCTTTGTTACATGTTATTAGGGAAAACATTATATGTCTCTTGTCCATGAGATAAGGGATGAGGGGGAAAGGGAGCTATTGCTGTTTGTCAGGGGACCTGACAATTTGTGATCAGCGTAGTTTAGGGGCTAAGCCCCCAGTGCCTGAAATAACTGGGCAATTTTAAGCTGTTTTGAGGCAATTTTATTAGGCATATGCACAAAAAATGTCTAAAAATAGAGACCAAAATACCTCAGTGCCAACAAGGAAGAAATTTCCTGACCTACAGTATGACACTCTTCACCCCATAATGTGAATGATCAAACCAAGTGTTGAATGTATTTATAATTGATGGCCTTTACTGTTTAGGTACGATGCAAAACTATGCCAACCCACCTCCCCCATGGACCTGAAAAGGTTGCACGTTCATTACCAGTGCAGTAATACAGTACAGTATAATGTAATTACTGCAAGACAAATGATGAAGTATTAGCATACACTATTAATCACATACATTGTATAAAAGCTTACCTTCTTCAGTTTAAAGACAAAATCTTTCTCTAGGTTCTTTTCTGCCTTGTTTAGTTGCAATTGAGGCTCAGTCTGAGTGGTTGCTTTATCCTGGATGGTACCATCTACCGGGTTGGTCACGGTTCCCTTGGTATTGTCTTTGGGTGCCGGTTTATTTGCTTTCTTTTTCTCTTTAACCTTCTCTTCTCTTTTATTCACCTTCTTTTGTTTCTCTTTGTCAGCTTTTTTCTCCTCCACTTCAATTGTTTTTAATTGTTTGTCAAGGTTCTTTTCTGCTTTGTTTAGTTGCAATTGAGGTTCTGTCTGAGTGGTTGGTTTATCTTGGATGGTACCATCAACCGGGTTGGTGTTTTCAATTTCTGCTATAGCTTTTGGTTCTTTTGGTTGTTCTTCTTTCTCCTTTTTAACATCAACTTCTGCTTCATCTGGTTTTGCCATTATTTTCTCTTCCTCATTTACTGTTGGGTCACCATCTGGTGTCTTCTCTTCTTTCCTAACTGAACTTTCTTGATCTTCTATCATAGTCACAATATCATCTTTTTTCTGAACCACATCATCCCCTTTCTCAACCACATCATCTTTTTTCTCAACCACATCGTCTTTTTTCTCAACGACATCTTTTTTCTCAACACTGTCGTCTTTTTTCTCAACGACATCGTCTTTTTTCTCAATACTATCATCTTTTTTCTCAACCACATCATCTTTATTCTCAACATCATTACATGTATTGTTATTCAGAATCGTAGGCTTTATATCCTGTTCATTGTGTGTTATACGTTCTACCATCTCTGGTTCTTTGGCACTATCATCGATCTTACTTCCAACATCAGTTACAACTGCTTCTTTAACTGATCCTTCTTCTGGTTTCTTTTCTTCAGTTTTCTCTTTCACATTGGACTCTTTACTACATTGTTCAGAAGTAGTTCCATCTAAAGGCGACTCTTTCTGCTCTACATCATTCTCTTCCTCTTTCGTGTCGCCCTCATTTTCTTTACAGATTACTCTTTCCTTCAAATCCTTACCTTCCTTACCCTCCATTATAAAGAGTTCGTCATTAGATTTCTCTACGTCATCTTCGTCTTTCTTACCATGTATTTCAATATTGTCTTCTTTCTTCTTATCACTACAGTTCTCAATTTCTTCACTTTCCTGAGGAATCAATTCTTCTTTACTCACGCTATCACTCTTATTCTCTCCCAGTGTTGTTGTTTTCGTTTCTTCACTGGCATCATCAGCTGTCATACTATTCTCAGGTTTTTGATTAATTTCTTCATCCTCCTGTTTTTCTTCCTCTCCAACTTGTTCAATATCTTTCTCCACATTGTTTTCTTTATCTTCTTTCAATATTTTAGCATCTCCTACTTCTTTCACTTGATCTGTAGATATGTCCTCCACTCCCTTTGTTACTGTCTGATCCTTAAGCTCGCCATCTAATTCAATATCTTCCAAATTAGTAGAATCACCTCCAGGTGATTCCATTGTCACTCAAATATAAACATAAACTGAAAATCAAAATAATTAATCCACAATTAGTAAAATTATCGTATTTGGCCAAGTAAAAAAAAAAAGAGTAGTTTCTAGACCTATATTTTCAAAAATGGAGAATGAGGTACTCTGAGATGGCAAATCCAAGATGGTCGATTGCAAACAGCTATTACTTTCTCACTTTTACCAAGTAGACACATTGAAAGCAGTTAAAAGAAGCACTAGACATGATTCATACCATATATATCCCTAACCACAAACGATTGAGAGAGGAATTTTACTGATGTGAGTTAGCCAGATTTCCGTACATTTCTTAAAAGCAAATAAAAAAAAAAAATTGGAGAGGCAGAGAAAATACAGTAGATGCGCGAGGAGGAGGGGGGGGGGGGGGGGGGGGGAGAGAAACTAGTAGTCGTTATTTTTTTAATTTGGCCTTAATGCTTGTATGCATGCTACCATCATAGGTGGATTCAACACCTGCCTCCCCCAAAATACTATAAATTTGTGAAGATTATGAAACGGAAAAAACATGACTAGCTTCTTGCAATTTACGGTAAGAGGCATTTATTCATACAATTTCGTACCATACTATTTCTATAATAGCTTCCTATTATTCCCCATGCATGTAAAATAGACCTAGCATTTTCGTTGATGAATGGGTGTACAGGACTACAGGTAATGTAATGTAAGGCCTGCGTGGGGAACATCCTCTGCGCAAAAATTAGGCCTACAAAATCTGTTGGCTCATTTTAAAAAAATAAGGGCCAATTTGCAAGCAAATTTTGCTGAAAATTAGGCTTTGACCTAATCTATAACCAAACTATTATGCAGTAGTTTACGATTCTGTGCACCTATTTTCCTAGCAATTTTCCATGCTACTAGTTTTGAGGTATCATCATGAACTAGTTTTGAGGTATCATCCACACAATTAAATAGTCTCTTTCCCAGCCAAACTGCGCAGGGAATATATATGCTGCGCCCAAATATTTGACCTAGGCTAGAAATCCGTCCACGCATTTTGGAAAATACGTGCCGTTTTCAGTTCAGATTTTGCAGAAAATTAGGCTCTGACTTTATCTTAATATACATAGGCTTATATATGTTTTATGCAGTAAATACGATTCTGTGCACCTATTTTTCTGCGCAAATTTGAGCTGGTTTTTGGAGTATCATTTGCGCGATTAAAAACTTTACAGTATGGCTTTCGAGCTAAAACAGTAGTAGGCATAGCCAAATCATAGTTAGTAATAGTAAGTTACACAAGCACAAGTCTGTTATTTATGCCATTTACTTTTAAACTTAACAGCAGCTGACGTTCAACTAGCTAGGCCTAGCCTAGTATGGTAAAGCAAGCTCCTGTGTTCTGTACATTCTTTCATCACTTTTCCTTCTTCAGGACAGCCTACTAGTACTAGCATACAGTAACTACTTGTAGGCCTACAGTAGGCCTAACCAAAAATAACTGTACAATACATTTAGCCTAGGCTATGTCACGACCTGAAAAGTCTAGGCCTAGGCCTATGGTTTTTCTTTAGCAAATCAAGGAGTAGGCCTAGGGCCTAGGCCTAGTACTGTAGTAACTTAGGTGGTAGTTGGTTTCAGCAGGCATTTTAAAATAAATTGTTAACATAGGCGAGGCCCAGACAAGAGCCCACAATTCGATTGTGAAGCCTGTTTTATTGATCTTATTCCGCGGCGTTTGGTTGGGCGGCCTAGGCCTAGCCTCGCTAGGCTAGGCCTAGTGGTGGTGGTGTGTGTAAACGACTGTCTGTGCTTTGCTGAAACATACTGCAAAAATCATTTAAATCGTCGTGCGAGCATAACAATGCCTACACAATTTACCTCAAAACTAGCTAAGAATTACCTTACGAGAATGCTCCTGATAAATTAACGTTTAATAATGATACATTAAACCATTAAAATCTAGTGAATTTCGTGAAAACTTACCCAGCCAGCAAAAACGAGCAAGCCGCCCTCAACAATGTATGACCCCAGAATCCAAGACAGGTCAAACAATAGTTATGGCAGAAAAATTAAAAGTGAGCTTTTTTTAATAATTATTATTTATTCCGCTACTCCGTCATAGAACTATATCTGAAAAGAATACTTGTCTATATAATAAGTATTTTAATGCTAAATTGTATTTTTTACCACATAATATGTTTAAAGATAATATTAATCTAAATGCCAGTTCGAGCGGATGCTCGCTCGAGTAAATGGCAGTTCGCGCGTATGGCTATTCGAGCGGATTTGATCTGATACCGATTGTGCGGCCTATAATTCATGAAAATTTAAAGTGGTCTTCCAAAAGCGTATTTGCAGTAAAATAACAAAATGCATTGGTATAATCAGCAAACTGAAGCACTTTTTTCCTCAATATATACTTTTAAATTAATTCCTTTTAGGCCATGGGCTGGAGGTCCATCCCTCCCCACAGTTAAATTTCCTTGGTATCATCATGGAGGTATAACATTTTGTTCCTACGGGCATATAGAACAAAAAAATTAACAAGCCTTAATAGGGATGCATTGTACTACGTACTCGCGTCATTTGATAGTGTTTTATGGTCAATACTTTTTTTTGTTTTTTTTTTTTTTGGAGGGGTAACATTTATGCCCATAACCTGTGATTTCAAAAATCCCATCAATTGGTAGCAATGTGTAGAAGTGTATGTTTCTTAATCATGCTAAATAAAATTAATCCGACAATTATTAACGTCACTAGAGGTCAAAGGTCATCGACCTTTTTCTAAAATGCAATTTTTTTTATTAAAAATAATAAACTTCAGTGTCACATGTCTAACTTTGGATGTATTTGATACAAATTGTGTTTTTCTTGTAGTTATTGACATAAGGAATACAAGAGGTTAATATAGGCCTACTATTGTCAAATGTGATCCGAGAAATTTGTAATCAACAACAGTTTTTGGGGTAGGGGTAACATGCTCACTGAGGCCAACTCTTACTTTAGTCAATGGATATGTATGATAGGTATCATTTAGCCTATATATTTTTCTTGTTAATATCTTTTTTTATATTCCATATAAATAATAGAATACTAATTGGTATCAAATCTCACAACTGTAGATTTGTAAACGTTTGCGAGTAAATGTGGTAATAAATTTACAACTTTTCTGTGGAGGTCAATGACCTTTTGACCACTAGCTACGTCAATTTCTGCCTGTTTCAATTTTTTTTTCTATTTGAAAGACTGACCACTGTCTATTATAGGCTAAATGTTGATACCAACATCATACAAATCCATTGAATAAATCAAGAGTTATGAGCATAAATGTTACCCCTACCCCAAAAACTGTAGTTGATTACAAATTTCTTGGATCATAAACATTGACAATAGTGCATAATGCATTTTAATTTTTTTCTTGTAAATCTCAATTTTTGTATTCCATATGTCAATACAGTACACGAAAAACACAATTTGTATCAAATACATCCAAAATTAGACATCACTGAAGTTTATTGATATTTTATGAAAAAATTTGCATTTTAGAAAAAGGTCAATGACTAATACTGTAACATCATCTGGGCAGCTGATTATATATCGTTGAAATTCTAAAATTACAAAAACGTGCTGTACGATCAATTCATCTAGTTTTTGTTTTTTTAGCTCATAGACGGAACCTTAATTAAAAAAAACGGAAATTTTGAATATTTATGATTTGCATAGGCTTGCATGTATTATCTCTTATGTATCAATTTGTAAACGTGTTACCATGGTGCTACCAACTTCATTTAAAAAAAATTTCTCTAAACGTACAGCAACTTTGTATAGGCCTACATATAATTAGAAATGCAAAAAGATTGGAAGTTCCTTTTATAAGACTGAAAAAAAAAACTCAATTTTTTGTTACGCATTATTGTCCCAATTTGTGGAATGAAATAGAAACAGAAATTATTTCTTGCAAAAAGCTTACTCTCATTTAAAACAAGATTTAAAACCATTCATGCTTTATCATGTATATTTGTCACCATAGATTTCATAAATATAACGTACGTACAAGTAATAGTTAAACATTGCTTTAACAGTAGAAATGATATTATTTAAAAATGATGTTTTACACTAGCCGTTGTATTACCATACGGCCTGCTCAGTATGTTGCAAAAATAATCTAAAAGAATTGACACGTATTCGTCTCGAACCCGGGGGCCATAGCTCAGCTACGGGTCCGGTTGTACGCATGTATATTGGGCCATGTCATGTAATTTTTTTAATCAAAAAAGTGTAAATCGATCAGTAAAATTGACTAATAAGTATCTATATCAGTTAATCTAATCAAAATTGCTGATTTTCCCTGGCGTTTGTCCTACAGCAATGAACAGGACTGTTGTACGGCCTGAGTAGAACCCCTGTAGAAACGTATAGTACCTTATTCTAATATTGACCCTCCACCCAAAATTATGCCCCTGATTCTTATCACTCTATTGAATACTTATCACCTGGTAGATCTGTCCTTATGATGGGAATACCTACATTCAGTACATGGTCCTCCTGCCATTAATAAACGAAAACTTTACTAAAATAAAACTAAATAATATAGCAGTCTGTTATTCGAATATCTATATTAACGTATTCACCTAACTTAATTCAAAAGAGATTTACTAATAGGTTTCCTAAATAATGCATAGCAGTACCCTGTGTATTCATAACACATGTAAATTGAATTAGGCTCATTTTCGGCCATCTAGTGATCAAAATTTTCCCGAGGGAGGACGCCCCACCCCCTTCCTCTTTGGGATTATCCATTCATGAAAAAAAAAAGAACACGTAAGCAACTCAATTTTTTTTAATGATACGTATACCCACATAAATAGGACTATTTTAGGAATGAGAAAGTTTACCTGACCGTTTTCAAGAGGGGGAAAACCTTGAATTTTGAAGAATTTAAAAGTCATTAAAAGAGACACCTCTGAAGCCAGAAAAGCTCATTTCCCGCCATCTAGTGATCAAAATTTTCTCGGGGGAGTAACCCCGGACTCCCTTCCTCTTTGGGGTTATGTACGTATACACACATAAATAGGCCTATTTACGTAATAAGAATGAGAAAGTTTACCTAACTGTTTTCAAGAGGGGGAAACCTTGAATTTTGAAGAACTTAAAAGTCATTAAAAGACACCTCAGAAGTCTGTAAAGCTTATCTCCCACCATCTAAGAATCAAAATATTCCCGGGGGAGGATCCCGGACCCTTTTTGGGCGTTTTTATGAGAAAAAAAAGTCTGACCTCCCCCCCCCCCCGCCTAAACGTGAACCTAAATCCGCCTCTGATTAACCTGTATGTAAAATTACTTTATTTAACAACACTAAATTAAAGATAAACTATGTGAATAGGCTATATAACGTTAAGACACACTAATACTAATATATTTCTGATAGGCTTCACGTACATGGAAAAGTTATTATAACTTGTTAATTTTGTATCCGTGGATTTACTCGTTATCTGCAAGAGTTTTGGTTTTCTATCATTAACAATACAATACTGTACATTATTTCTTAATAAATTTAGCAATAGTACAATCTTATCAATCAATATAATCTATGCTCTATCTTAAACAAATCACGTTTATAGTTATTCAATTGAAAACAAATATATTTCTCGTGTGTGCATTGTTTATAATAGGTTTTTTATGTTTACTATAATTTCGTTTTATTAAATAGGCTTTTTGTTTACTTGATTTTATGTCATTTTATTTCCATGCAAAGCATTGAACACAATAAACAAATCCCATTTTATTCCAGGTGCCTACCGGTGGCATAATAAAGACAATAATGAATAATAATGTAAGTCTTATATACAAGAATTATAATACAATAAATCTGCCTAACCTAGTTACTCGCTATACATGAACAATCCATAAAATGCAACTCCTTCAGTTTTATACAAAAAGACAGTCGGAGAGTACCACAGTGAACGAGTGTATTATCGGATCTTTACACTAGCAAGCAAATATGTTCGGAGTTTGGAAGTCGTTCTTGATTTTCTTGCTCCTGACATTCTCTGCATCTGGTGGTATGTAGGCCTGTTTTCACTTCATTGCTTTTCAGTAAGGTATATAGTAGGCCTATAGGTATATAATGCGCTAAACCTCGAAGGTAGAAAAGAAGTTTGGTCGCCTACAAATTCGGGAATATGTAAACTATGTAATGACAACACTAAAGAAACCGTCGTACTAGAATGTAATAGATTCAATAAATTAAGAGAGGAACCTTTAAAAAGCCTTAAAACTGACAGCTACTTCTTAACGATTTTTACTCTTTTTGGAAATCATTCGATGAAGGTAGCTCGGAAATGAGACTACACCTATTACTAGATAATTTATACAATGAAAACCCAACATTATGAAAAATATTTGGCACTTGCTGCTGCTAACTTTTTTTTTTATTAGTGTACTATTACTCAGTAATTAAGTTTGTTTATTTTAATCATTTTCTAATTTTAAGGTCGTATTACATTTTGTTCATTTTATGTATTATGGACGCACCACATTTTAGGTGTGTATGATCTGAAAGTGAGTGACAATAAATACTGAAATACTGAAAATACTGTCATGATCTAAACAACCCAAAATAATTGAAAAATAACCGTAAAATACAGAAGTGTTCGTACCGGAAGTCCCAAACTATCTGGTGGTATCATGTAGGCCTGATTTTACATCATTGATATTCATAGTGTTCGTATCAGTTAAAGTAGTCTCAAACTATCTTCATTTTTTTATTGCCCTTATAGTAATTATTTCCTTCAGTTCAATTTGGAAATAAAATATTTGTGTTTTCAGCCAACAGTAAATACTTGCTGATAATTAATTAGTAGTTAACCACTATGTAAGACCTCTACATGTCTCATTTTAAACTTCGAAAATGGATTAGTCTTAAGAAATATTTTATAATTAAAAAAAAACAAAACTTTTTTGTTGGGTCTATACAAAACTTTTTTTTTTTTTTTTTTTTTTACAAAATTCTAGCCCAGAGCCCAGAATATGAGCCTCCCCGAGGCTAAAATTTTGGGAATTGTTCGGTCAATATCATTTATTAGCATTTTGGTGTTTTCGTTATTACAGTTGAATCAGCAATCCACGCCATTTCGATGTCCAGAGCTAATGGACATCTGCTGTCGAGTCATTCACTACACCATTCACCAGTGAGGGGTTTGACAGATTGTGTAGAACTTTGTTTGCATCATTTTGAAGAATGTTCCTCTATAGCTTACGATAGAGACAGACAAATGTGTGACGTATTCGCCAGTAAATCTCGATATCAACTAGTCACACTGATGTTCCCAACGAATGTACTGTTGTACACGACACCAACGACGTATCGCGATTGCACAGACGTCAAGCAACGAATGAGTGGTAAAAGTGGTGTTTATGAAATTATGCCATGCTCGTCATGCAACGCGTTTCTTGCTTATTGTGACATGGACACTGATGGTAAAGCTTGGACAGTAAGTTTCAAATACAGTTTTCCCTCTAATTCGAGACCACTCAAAGTAGGCTACTGTACCAACTAACGCATTTTAATCCTTTTACATAAAGTTAACCTGATTGGAGACCAAGACCACACGACATTTTCAGGTCCAAAAAGTTGTCCCAAATTGGATGACACTCTGTATGTTATTATTAATTTAAATTTAACTAAAATCACGTAGGCCTAGTCATTTTGTAAATACCTATGTGTATCCTAGACCTGATTCTCTTCAAATGATGACCAAAATCGATGCCCACTGATGTTTCTCCATGTATATTGCGTCTTTAAATCGTTTTATACCAAATACATATTATTTGTCATTTGTATACTTTATTGTGTTAGTAGGCCTATGGCCAGTGGTGGCGCTACGGGGAGAAAGGAAGGTGAAGAATTTTCCCCAGCAAATTCCCTCCCGCCTAATAATATCAATAGATTTAGTGAAGTTGACGCAAGGCATTTGCTTATCCGGGGTAGTGCGCTTATCACGATTATTCAATACCAGCAATCGTATTAATTTTCTCTTATCTCTTATCTTAAATTGTATCTCCTTTTAAGAATTTACCTTGCCCCTGCACTTTCCTTCTCTCCATAATCCAGACGCTGACACTGCCAGTGCCTGTGGCTTATAATTGGAATAATGAAAATCACAATCTTATAGGTATTTCAGCGTCGACAAGATGGCTCTGTAGATTTCAACCAAAACTGGAAAACTTATGCGTCTGGATTTGGTAAGTTAAGTGGCGAGTTTTGGCTCGGAAACAAGAAAATCCACAAAATTACGTCGTCAGCAAAGTATGAATTTCGAATAGATATGGTAGCTACAGATTACAGCACTTATCACGTCACCTACGAGTCAATTGAGATTGAAAGTGCAGCTGAAAACTTCAGATTGAACATTGGAGAGTACATTGAAGCAAATTCAACTGCCGGTAAAACTATTATTTTGACTATTTTGATTTATTTGCAATTCATTCATTTTAAGGTTCATTCATGTTGTTTACCAGTGGAATGACATTCAGCGGCGGATCCATAATATTACATGCGGGAGGTGGGAGGCACCAAATTATCAGAATAGCTAAGTAGGGAGAACTGTCAGCACAGAGCAAAACAAAGGTGCCGGAGGTCCTAAAGTAACATTTTGTATTTGTATTCTACTTTGTTTTACTTTGATACCAAGCATTGGTAAGTAATGTAATTTAAACATACGGTAGTAGCAAAACGAAATCGGCAGATTCGCCACGTTCTCTCCTCCACGTTACCCGAATTAAATCGGCCCTGACAAAGTTCACAATGCTACACGGAAAAAACATACAGAATATACAAATATAATCTTTGTATTAAACTAAATGAAAACGAAAAAGGAATTTATTCAACCTATTGCGACCTTTCTCAGTCCGAGAGACACCCGTTTCTCAGTGCTTTTTATCAGTTCTGTAAATAAATGAATGGAATAATACTGTTCTCAGCTCATTTTTCAAAATAGAGAAATAAAGAAGCGATTGCAATGTGCCTAACACGCTTCCTCCCCCAGTCGCCCCACCCCATTCAAAATGTTCTAAGCAAAAAAGTCACGCTCAAGTAGATAAAAATCACTTTTGCGAGCTAGCTACCTCCACTTAATCATCAAGCTCCCACCCCTTCCCCTTTTCAATACTCTTACATACGCCAATGCACAAGAGAGTTTAATGAGTTTGATGTGGTCTACATTATCCCCAATAGAAGCGAAATTGTTGGATTTTTTTTTATAACACTGTCACTCTTCATGTTTTTAGCAACCCTTTGTTTCAGAAAATTGTTTTGCATCAATATTTTTTAGCAAGTTATACGGTGTAATTATTGTGATATGTAACATACGTTTCTGGACAGGATTTCAGGGGCGGATCCAGACATTTTCTGACGGAGGTGGAGGGGTGGGGGGAGGCCCAATAGGTAGAACACACACACCTCAGCCCCACCATGGCTGGGGCTGCGGTGAGCACATTTTAAGAATATGCCCCTCTAGACGCTCGGAAATGGCACTCTGAGATGGTAAAAAGTGTTCCTCCTCACTTCTCAATTATTGACTTCTTCCCGACGGGAGCTATGCTTCCCCTCACTTAGACACCATTCCCTCAAGGGCGTCGCAAAAGTCTGATTATTAAGGACCTATAGATAGTCTATTCTATACTGGGAGTCGCAAAGAAAATTATGATTATAGCACCTTAGATGCCTGGAAATGGCACTCATTCAGACTTAAAATTTGAATATTTTATTTATTTTTTTTTTAAATTGTAGGAGGTTATGGCCGACAAATTGAGACCCCTCTTAGGTCTCGGTCTTTTGGGTTTTCATCCTGGTTTATGAAGTCGTGGGGGGGGGGGGAATCGGCGTAGATGGTATAGCGTAACGTTGTGCTGGTCGTCAATCAAGAGAAAATTCAAAATTAGTGAGCGGTAATAAAACAATCGAGCTCTCCTTTCGCCCACTGCTGGGTCAGCCACTGAACTCATTGGTACACTCATGGTCCTTTCCCCGGCCCCTCTTTCCTCCCTTTCACACTTCTCAATTTTATTTTTCAGTGGGACTGACGGGGCGGGGGAGGGTTCACGGCCCCCGTGGCCCCCGCTGGATCCGCTCCTGGATGTGTTTGTTTAGTAAAGTGTTTCTATAATTTGTAAGTGAATGGAATAGCTCTGTTCTCGAAACACATACTGTGCAAGATCAGTAATAGTATAAATATTTGAACAAGAAAGATAACGTTTATTTCGTTTAATGATGTTTTAAATGAAGCTATTTACATAAGGGCATAAAAAAAACGTTCTTAACTAATCAATTGTCTTGTTATGTTTTATAGCCGAAGGATTTTCCAGTACCCAATTAACCACACAGTCCAACAATGGCATGAGCTTCTCTACAGTGGACCGAGATAACGATAATATCGGCGAAAATGCCTGCAGTATTAGTTATAATTGTGGTTGGTGGTTCAACGCTTGTTACATTTCTAATCTTAATGGTCTATATGAATCGGGAATTATCTGGGACCATGGAGGAAACCACTATATTTTACGATTCTCAGAAATGAAAATGCGAAGAGTTGACTGAGGACAAAAAACAGCGCATTATTATGCCTTGCCTTTTATAATGTTTATATTTGTATGATTTTAAATAACAGTGAGCTGTTGGTAGATTACGCTAGTTTACGTATCTACTAGTAATGTACTCTTTAGATGTGTTGACCATTTGCCCACAATGGCACGAAGAATAAGGGGGAAGCATACATAGCAGCGTTTAAACTACATTTTCCAACGACAATGGAGAAACATCAGATGTAAATTAATTTAATAATTTTGTGCTTTGTTATGAAATATTTCTGTGGTTAGTTTAAGTAAAATAGGCCTATACCCTTAACTTAGCAGGAATTCCATTTCTTTGGTAATGGTAAAATCCAACAAAGTTTCCACTGACGGACCGTCAAGGGCAGCAAGGCACACACTACTATCTTATCTAGAAATACTCCCAAGACAATGTGTTTACTCTGTGTTAGCCTTCCCCTTCCTCGTTTTATTTTTCTTAAGTATATAAAACTAATATACAAGATAATTGCTGGCATTGTAGAAGAAAGAGTCAATTTTTAATGCAAAAAAACTTGAACATGCATTACTTCCTTTTATATAAGCATGAGTTACTTCGAATCAAAGATTTATATGATTATAGTATTGGGATATTTTGTTTGAAATTAAAAATGGAAGGATACCTATATCCATTTCACAACACATTGCCATGAACTCACAAATCCATGCTTATGCAGCACGTCGATCATAATCATACGATATTCCATCATGTAGGCTCACAAAACGACAAAACACAGTTTTCTTTTATTATGGACCTAAAATACTGGCTATCATCTTATTCTATTACAAATATCAAATTTTAACATCAAGCTGTGAAAGAAACAATTTTAAACTCGCACAGTACACAGACACTTAATATCACTATATGATCACCTTTTAGTACGGTATATATTACAGTACGGTAATGTTATATATTGATATGTTGTAATTCTACTGTCATTGTTTACTTTATTTAATTATATTATTTATATTTATTTACTTAGTAGTACCAGACCTATTAACAAGCTTTGCTTCTTGGTTTCTGGTACTCATATTGTATATTGTTATGAACTATGAATTATATGAGTAAAATAAAATGGATTTGAATTTAAAATTGTTCAATTATTAATCCGATAATTAAAATCAATTCAATGAATATCGAGTGTGCTTTTTCTTTTGGTCAAAAGAAGTAGACATTCTTACTATTATCGACAGTTAAGCAAATAGCTAGCTCTTCAAAGATGCCCTTTAAGAACATTTCATAATTTAAAATATCTACAGATTTATTGTCAACATGGGCGTCGTGTGGTGGGGACGGGGGGACGCGTCCCCCCACTTTTCAAAGTAGGGGGAACATCATATCTTTGTCCCACCCACTTTTCACCAATCTTCTATAATTAAAACCCCACTTTTAAAAGCGATTGGAAAGAATAACAATTACGCATGACTCATGAATTTTGTCTGTTCACTTTTCTAAGTGCGGTACGTATTTTCCGGACCAAAACCGAGTAAAAACGCAATTGTTTATACATTTCGTAACCATCTCAGAAACCACTAGATCGATTTTATGGGTGAAACGGTTATCAGAGGCTAAATTAATTGTGAAAACAACGTACTTAACGTTGTTAAAATTGGAAGCATGTATACATATAAAAAAGTGCACAATTTCTACTATAAACTATTTATTCCTTTTGTATATTATTATGACCCGTACGTATATAGTGTTTAATATTATCTACATACATAGGATTACTGTTTTTTTTTTTTCAAAAAAAATTATAGTTAGTCAATTGAATTTTATATTGCCATTATTAAAAAATAATTATACAGCCTTTGACACTGATATGTCTATCTATTTCGATTAAGTGATACCAAAAGTTTACAAACTCCAGTGTTACGTTGACGCAATCTCGCAATGACGTCATAATAATCAATGGCGGATTCAAGTGGGGCCGAGCCGACCCTAAATTTTTCAAAATTATTTTTAAAAAATGGAAAAAAGAAAGGAAAATTACAATTAGAATTTAGGTCTGAGAGTGCCATTTCCGGCAGTCTAGAGGTGTCATAATCATAAATTTTCTTTCCCTTTCCTTTTTTCCCCTTTTCTGTAGGGGGGGGGGGGGGGGGGGGGGGGGTGGTTTCTGTGTTTTATTGACATCGGCAAAGAGCAATAATAGTAAAACTCGAGCGTCACGACATTGCGAAGTGTCTGCTCTTGTTCCTCGTATCGAACTCGAGTCAATCCGAGATGGTCCGAGTGAAGTTTCATGCAAATATTTCGTACGGAAAAAAAATCGCCGTGGCTAGAGATACGGTACCGTATCGGAACTTCCGATCGCTAAAGGTACGGTAAATGATATTACGTCATGATTAGCCAGGGCAGTATGTTAGGACCACTTCTGTTTGTTTTTTACATAAATTATAGGCCTATGCCTAACTATGTTAGTTCAGAGATATCTTTATTTTGCTGATGACACCAAATTAGGGCAAAAAAAAAGGGTTGTGTTGCTCTCCGCGACCGAGAAATTTTCCAAAAAATCGGGTCGGAATTTTTTTTTTCCTTGAAATTCTGAAACAGAAATGTATTTTTTTTTTAAATCAAAATCGGGCCAAATATTAAGTATATGTACGCGTAAAATCGGTAAAATAGAAGGCATAATTGTAAGAACCGAGCGCGATGACGATACATGCACACGACATCGGATCTCTCGCGCTGAGCTGTCAATTGCCACGACCAGATCACTAGGCCTAGGCTAGACAATGACCACAAGTCTCAGTTTATTGATTTTTCGTAGTATTAGCACATTTTGGAAAGCGCCACCAGCGTCAGTTTATGTCGTGAAACGTTTTGGATGCGAATAATCCTAATCCCAGAAAAAGTATACTATGGAACGCCATGCAAATAAGTAATTTGGAACGCCATTGGTGCCAAAATCGATTTATTCTTAAGCATTTTAATTGGTTAAGACAAAGATTAGGGATTAGAACCCAGTCTAGGCCTAGGCCTGAGCTAACCTATTCTTTACTACTGTACAACTTGTGGTTGCTTGAATCAAAAATCGTATTCATTACCTTACGGTATATTGGACAATAAATAAAAACTGGCTTAGGTCTAGCCATCGCTTTGAAACCGGTACAACTAGACATTTTCGACTCCGTTACGGTTTTAGGCCAACCATAAACGAAATATTTTTCTCTTTTTTTTCTCAAAGTTTATTTCGATTTTATTACATAGAGGGCGCTTGTTTGGACATTTTTCATAGCCACAGTATTTTTTTGCTCGACCTGCCCGTGTGTGATCGTGTGGATCGGATACACATTACTGTATTATTTTACGTTTCGAAGCCAAATAAATCTTTCATTAAACTGATTTATTTTTGTTAATTTTATTTCAATATACACTTGGTTAGTATTTGTTCCGTCATTACTTGGAATACTTTTTGTTTGGCAAGCTCGCCATTGTTCTATTGTGGTGCCAAAAAGATATATATTTCGAAATATAGTCCTTTGTCCTAATTAATACCGGTAGTTATATCTAAACAGTATTTTTTTTATTATGTATTGTTTTTTAAGTTAATACGGATAACAGCAAAGCCTTTTATTTAAGTTTTGTCTTGATTTTTTAATTGTTAAGGATCGAGTCATCATGAGACAAGATTATATCTTCTAATTTTAATTTGATTCCTGAAATAGTCCCTATTCTGTTTATATTCACACTTATATCACTATATTTGTATTATTATTATTATTATTATTATTATTATTATTATTATTATTATTATTTGTATTATTATTATTATTATTATTATTATTATGACTATTTCGAAATAAGTGATAAAAAAAAAGAAGAAAAAAAAAACCCCACAACATGGACGAATTGGATTTGCCTCTAAAACGCCCCGGACTGGTCAATCCTAAAACATTTTGTTCATTACATTATCTGTTTAACTGTTGTTTTTTTTAATGATCAAAACTATAAAATGTATTAAAATACTTAATTATAATTATAACTTGTGTTTAATACAAACTAAACTTGTTCTTCATATTTCATTATTTTCATATATTTATTTTTGTAATTTTTTTTTCTAATGAATATTTCTGCTTCTGCTGTACTTATTTTCTCATTCTGGTCAGCGCCACCAAGTTAATTTTGAGCAACGACTCATTTCTATGGAACGTCCACAGTGCCTTCACCGGCGCACAGTGAGCCAGGGCGAAATCAAAGTGTGCCAAAAGTCCATTTTGGTGACTATGGCTTTTACACTACGGGTATGAAAACCTCTAGATAAGTCTTGTATTCGCCTAGATTAGCTTCTGTAATGAGTAATTAATTTTGGCACACTTTGACTTCAATCTGGCCCACTGTGCGGCGGCCATAGCATTCGGCTGCGCATTTATCATTCGGCGACCCATGGAATTGCATTCGGCGCATTTGGCATGCGGGGGTGACTTTCTCATTCGGCGGCTACTATGTTTTCGGCGCAATTGTCATGCCGCGGCGTTTTTTTTTTTTTTTTTTCATTCGGACGACCCTAGCATTTGGCGACTACATCATTCGGCGACTTTAGTATTCAGTGGCTCAAGCCTACATCATTCGGCGACTTTAGCATTCGGTGACTATAATAGGCCTCTATCATGGCGACCATCATGATAGGATAAAACGGTTAATTTTCAACGTCTGCTTACAAGCCTAGCTTAAGCCCCATTTACACTAGACACGATTACGACACGACAACGATACGATACAGATGCGCGCAGTGTTGAAGAATACAAAATACGCGATGATATGTCGTTGTCGTGTCGTAATCGTGTCTGGTGTAAATGGGGCTCTACACTGTGGATGTTCGATAATTAACGGCGTTCCATATGTATTCGCATCATTATTGTCTCTGTTTCCACAATAGCTCTATGGTTTCCACTCGAATTGCCTTGCGCTCTCTATACCTAGCATCCTCCTGATTTCGAACCATAGTATGAGGCGCAAAAAGTTTAATTAAAATTAAATTCTTAGAAACTGTTTACAAATGTTTGTGTATTTTATAAAATATGATTTTTGTTATAGGTAAAATAAAACTGTTTTACTTATGAATAAATAATATTCGTTAAAATCTACCAGAATTTATTAAATGCTCGGGTACATAATTAATGAATACCAGGCGCTTCATAGACGAAAGCGTGTGGAGTTTTCGTTGATCCAATTCAAGCTGGGGTTGAATTGAATCAATTTGGTGAGAGAATACCAACATTGATCAAGGGCTTACTGCTCATTTAACATACATATATTTTAGTTTATTATTCAGTCAATATTTTCGTATACGATAACGGTTAATGGACTCTGCCGGCTAATAATTAGCTGAGCATTTTGCCTAGCCTAGGTAGGCCCTGCCTGGCCTAGCCACGCCGAAAGAGCACCGGCGGACAAGTCAAACATTCAGCCTAGAGCTCAGCATTGTTTTCTTTGGCCTAGCTTGATTGATTCTATCACAAATCACATAATGTCGGGTATTCGCGTCATCCAAGTCACAAATGTGTCACCGTCTGCCACGGTCGAGCAAATGAAAACATTATTCGAATTTCTTGGAAGGGTTGAGGATATTGTTTTGGTTCCAAGTAGAGAGTAAGTACTAATTATTTACCGTAAATAGGCCAGGGCCTAGGCATACCTCCTAGGGCCTAGGCCTAAAAATAAATAAATTAATAAAAAAGTAAGGGATGAAGCCCTTTCCTGTTTATTGGCTAGCCCTAGGCCTAGCTTTTATTTAAAGTTGAGGCATGGACCTATTATTAGTATTAGTATTAATATTAATAAGGGCCATCTATATGGTTGAGGTTTAGGTTAGGGCCAGAGCTACTAGAGGCCTAGGCCTAGACTTATTGTTCAAAAACTAAACTATATGTAAGATAAGGCCCATCGCAGGCTAAACTCCTATATAGGCCTAGGCTAGGCCTATTATGTATGCTACTAGGCTAGCCATAGTTACTTCGGTATAAAAAAGAGTAAGTTCATTTTAAATAACATGAGGACAAGAATTTAGCCTCAAAGCTTATCATATTTTTTTTGGTTACGCACCACTGACTTGGTATGTTTGTCATCACTTCAAGATGTCTACCGATTCGTGGAAAAGGCGTATTGGATGTATAGTCTAGATTCCCAGGCGTAACGATTTAGAAAGTTCATCATTCAGCTTGTTGAGTCAACACAAACATAAAATAATTTGATGTTTTTCTTTTCCCGATACAGAGAAAACCAATCCCAGATTTGCTTTGCTAAGTATGAAGATGAGAGCAGTGTTGCAGTCGCCCAGCACCTTACAAACACCGTTTTTGTGGACAGAGCTCTGATAGTTGTTCCAGCAAAGGACAGTAAGTAGTAGTGGTAGCAATCGGTAGGTTACTGAGGCTATCATTTACGATGGTACAGTACAACCTACCAATTCACAGTAATTTCCTGATCCTCACGGTTAGGCTAATTCACACGGTAAGCTACTGATTCACCTGGTAGGCTACCGATTCACTCGGTAATACATGGTTAGCCTACCGATTTACACTGGAGGCCTCCGATTCACACGGTAGGCTACCGATTCATACTGTAGGCTACTGCGTCCACAGTAGACTACTAATCCTGTGTGAATCAGTAGCCTACTGAGTACGCAGTAGGCTACTGATTCTCACTCGAGGCTACCAATTTACACTGTGCCTTCCGATTCACCCTGTTGGCTACCAATTAACACTGGAGACTACCGATTTACATAGCAGGCTATTGATTCACACCATAGGCTACTGATTCAGTCCGTTGGCTACAGATTCACACTAGAGGCTACCGAATACACGGGAGCCTACCAAATTTACGTGACAGGTTACCGATTCACACGATAGGCTACCAATCACAATGCTTCATATTTGTATTAATGTTTTGTCAAAATCTATCGCACTCTGTTATTTATGAGATTTGAATG